CGTATCTTAGGCTTTCCTTATTTCTCAAGAAAACATATTAAATGATAAGATTATGATATTTGGGTAAATTCTTTTTACTGTTTTTTACATTTCATAGTACTTAGATAATTTGGTACCATCAACATTTTTGATTATTGTAGGTCAAATTCTAATTCCACTTAAAAAGTTCAATCTACAGTATAAGAGAGGTTTTGTACTTCTGGTAGAAAAGCATTTGATAATAATGATAAAGACTAGAGAAGAACACAAAATTCAATGTTGTATGTTTTCTACACTATCCGGTTTCCGGACTTATGTTAGAACTGTACCGGTTTTTTGTATCTATTTTAAGGACACTTGAAATAAACAAAAAACCAACCACTGAAAAAAACCAATACTTTAAAAGATTAATAGCCACCATTATTTGTCGAATATGCAAGAGTTGCTTTTGCATTTTTTTTTTGAGTGAGTATAGTTCAATTTTTTTTTGAGGTTTACTAGATCATTCCCTTATTTTTTCCCTACTTTGACGACCCTAGCTGAAGTTGGATTCCATAGTATCGCCGGCCACCCCATACTTGGTCACAGCTTTTTCTCTTATCAGCTATAATCACCCAGTCTGACTCAGTTTACGAGTAGTCAAAGGAACCGAGTCACCTTACAGCCGCTATTTATGACTGAACGACTCCTTCGCGGCTTTGGCCCTCGCTCTCGATGCCTGATTAATTGAGTGCTCCGGAAATTTGATCACCGGCTTATTCAGCAGGACTAAATAGGGAATGTAGGTCGAGGATGCAGATTTTGCTTTTGCAGATTTGAAATTATTTTTGAGAGATTCTGAAGGTTTTTGAAGCGGCAGCACTAAATCTGATTTTGAAAAAAAAACTCTGAAATAGTTTGAATTTCAAAAGTATTTTATAGAACAAAATAAACATTTTACATAACACATTAGAGATTTTATTTATGATAAAAACGATTAAAAGATTCGCAAATTTCAAGAGTCAAGAAGGCCTTCAACACATTTTACTCACAAAAATCAGTGAATTAAACAGATTTTAATCACAGATTTCCTACTTTTGAATAAAAAAACAATGCTCACAATGAAAAGAAAATAATTTAGACTTGGGCTAGTGACAATCATCCAAAATTCTTTCTTTGAGCTCAAAAGAAATACAGCAACCAATAAATCCCCTGCTTTAGTCAAATCTAGCCATTGGCAAATCTTGTTTACATAGACTATAAATCAACATCCGATACGTAATATTTTCACCGTAAATCCCCATTTACCACCGATTTTTAGCGCGATAATGCGAAGTGGGCGCATTAGATTTACAACATCATCTGCCTTACGGGGACGATGTCGCTGTAAAAACGTCAGCACTGGGGAATTGATGGTTTGAGTGTTTTTCTTACTGTGTTTATTTTCCATGATCGCTTGAAGCTGCTTTTTGAAACCTCAAATCTTCAAAAAGTTTTACCAATAAAATCAGCTTTGAGCCTAAAGTTTCCAGTGTATCTGTTTCACACCATGCCATTAGCCAAGATGTTGAAAAAAAAAACGAACCAGGCATATCAAAAAAGCGAACTAGATATATTCGAAAAGTTTCTTGTTGGGTGTAAGGCTAGAATCATTTTTGAACTTCTCGCTTTTTTTGCATCATTGGAGACATTTTTCTGCTCTGTGGCTTTACGGGCGAATCTTACCGTAGCTGTATCAAAAAAATGAGAGGGGGATAGATGGAATTTTGAATGTTCATAGCATATGGTTGGATAATAATCTATCTCATAAAAGTGTTTGATTTGATTTAAGAAATTTCGCAGACAACCCGCTTTCATCTGTAAATAATCATAATAAATTATCAGAAACATAGTCTTGAAAAAATTTTTCATAGGGTTAGGGATCCGCAAAAATTCGAAAAGCTTCAAGTTTATTTCCGTAGGGCTTGACTGCTGCCATGTTTCTTTATTTCAGAAAAATCTTGTCGCGCTTCCCCCCCCCCACCCCCACATTTCTCGCTATCTCGTATCTCGTACATTTTCGGTATTCGAGTAGAGCTCTGCTTACCAGCACTAATAAAATTCAAAGTGCTGGAAAGCTATGGATAGTTCTTCCAAGCTTTTTGTGAATGCAGAACATACGCTATATTTTACGCGCTTCGTTTTACGATACCAAAGCCAAAACACCAAGTCTGACTACGTACTTTTGATTAATCGAAATGCTTTTACTCAGGGAAGGGTGTTGACACCCTGGCCACTCAACAATGTGACAAATTAACGGAATTATTCAGACCTGCAATGTTCGGCAGGTTGTGCATTTGGCAGCCTGCTGACAGCCGTTATAATAGATATGTCTGTCCGATTTGTAGATTACCCTCGACGAGAATTTGCACTTTTACGGTTCATTTAGTGTTGCTGCCGAAGTCGTGGGTACGTTGGCCGATACGTAGTTTTCCCATGATTACAGCTGAAGTCAGCGTTGCGGAAAATTGTAAATCTTACAGATTCCTGGGAGGGGGGGGGGGGAGGGAAGAGGTAACGAGCCTACGATTTCTGGCTACGCTCTGATGCAAAAAGTCTAGTCTACTAGGCTGAAAGTCCGCATTTGCAACTAGTACACATTTTTCGACTCAGCAATTCTCGCGCAGGATCTTGGGCGGATGAATGCAGTCATCCGATTAACCAGCAAATGCACCCTAGCATACCAATGTGTGTAACCCCAAAGGCCAGCCAGAACGAAGAGCAAAAAGCTAGCAAGTACGAGAAAGTAGCGAAATGCTTGTCATGTGAAGTGTCTGACCCGGAAGAGGGATCAAAAAATTTGAAAAAATACCGTTGTCCACCGTTGAAGTATGTGTAAGAATTAGCTCATATTTACGTTGTTACATATCATTCACAGGTTCTCGTTTTCTCAGCACAAAAGTGGGAAAAATTTTGGGGAAGAATTATGTTAACATGCTTTGAACTTTCTAGGAAAATTCGAATTGTTAGCATAGAATTTTTCGGGACGTGGCTGCACCAGTAGGCTAGCTAAAAACTTCTAATTTTTTCGGAGGGCGTGGCCACGACTTCATTTGAAAAAATTCTGTCATCCCACCCCCCACAAAAAAAAACTCGTTGAACTTAGTGCACATGATGAGCGCGTTTTTATCGTACCTGACGTGAAATAAAATGTATTTAGTGTAATCCAATCAAAAATCTGAGAGAGGAGACATTCTATATGTCGAGCCCTACCTGTAACATATGTAATGCTCCAGCGACCTGAGAATTTTTTTGAGGGGGGGGGGGGGAGGGCGCAAAAGGAAGCTTTGCCTTAAAAATGGACGTGACCGCCAGGCCTAAAAATTTTCTATGCTTTATAAAATTTGGCGGGCTTGTGACTACGGAAAGGTTTTTTCAGCAAGCTGACTGTATTTTATGCAAGTTATTTCAACTATTCACAAGTGAAAGCAAGTCACTTTCTCGATTTAAAAACTTATATGGGCTCCTTCAAGAAATTCTGCTGCCCATTTTCTACCCTTGTTTGAACGTTTTTTCTGTTGCTACTTGCAAAAGATAACAAAGAAGTTCAAATCTTGGAAAAGCAAATTCTCTAATTGTAATAATTTTTCCAGGTTGAGAAAAATCAAAAAATCATACATACCAGGCTAGTAATTAATCTTATTGATTTTCTCTATCTCCTCCGAGATTCTGATCCTCATAAAATCAGTAATATCATCGATGATTAAGCACATCGATCCGTTGAGAAATTTCTCATTCCTCAAAGTCCGATGGTCTTTTGATGTATCCGTCGGTATCGCGAATGACTCACAGGCACACAAATAACTGCGTGGATGTTAAATATGCCATGTGAACTGTGTAAAATCCTCCATGAAAACAGCTATCGATTGTCTTCTCAGCTAACCAGTAACTCGAAACTCTTACTTTCGATGCAGAGAGTTCAGACGCTCAGTTCTTCCGAACCTAGGTTTGTCATGCTTTTGTTGTGCGAATTCATCTAATATCTAATCTAATATGAAAAATAACCGCCAGCATTTATTATTGTCTCGGTCACTAGCACGAAGATTGAATTACCGTAAGCCGTATCTTGCCAAGCTAAATGCTTTACAGTTCATAGTTACCCAAGTACCTGTGGCGGGTTAAGATTTCCGTGCGGAGGGAGAGGGAGGCGACACAAAGAATAGTTTCTTCGAGATGCTTCCTAAAATTTTTGCGGACTTATAACCCCGAAATTTCAGAAGGAAATTCTTACAAGGCTAATCTGAATTTTCAAAAAATTTCAAAATTATTTCAATATTTACAAGTATAAAAAGTCACTTGCGCATTTTTTTTAACTCATGTAAGTGACTATCAAAAAGTTTGTGAGCCATGAGACCTCCCCCCCCCCCACTCTGGTCTTCCCGCCATTAGATTTAGATCCTTTAGGAGAGACCAGGTTTTTTTCTGCTATAAGCAGTCCTCCTCCTCAACCTCAGTATTGGAATAAATTTTATTGAATTTTCCTTACGGCAGTTAGGATTCCTTTTTCTTTTTTCAAAGTCCCTGCTCTACATGGCTTTTATATCTGAAATCAGGTGTGCTATTTCAAGACTCACATTGCATGAGTGTTCCGTCATTTTTATCCAAAGGTCCCTAGAGAGTGTCTTTTTTTTTCAAGTCAAAATTTAGATTTACATTTTTTGCAGTAATATTAGGCTAAGAAAAATAGATTATTACGACGAGTTCTTGTCATAAGTGAAAAATAAGATCCTCCTGACGCTTATTTGCACACGGCTCAAAATTCTTAACCAGGTATTCCGCTCAAGACCCCATGTTTCATCATCGCTCATTCCTCAAGCACTCTCCAAGCTCTTCACTTGTTTTCTTCATTTATCTTCGTCTCTCTCTCATCCAAGTGCGTTTCACACTTCCGAAACTCTTCCATGGCAGCATGGAAGAAGAGGTCGTCGACGGACGCGGGGCCCCGCCTCTACTCGGCCTGCAGCGGGGCCCCGCCCCGTGCGACTGCGGCCACCGTTCCGTCGTCTGGACTCGCGTGCGTATCCCCACCGTTGATGCTGTCGATTTCAGAACATCTTCACTAGATCTGCTACATATACATAAAAACGTGAATGACTCGGGTTTAATACCGTAAAGCGATGAGAAGCGATACCGTATTCTGGCTATTTTTCGCTGCTGTCGTCATTGCTGATGCCGAGGACGTGATTACACCAAGCAACAGTAAGTTGTTCTTTCACTACGTTTTTCACACCAATTTCTTGGAATTATGTTTTTCCTATATTTTCAAATTCCTCTCCAAATCTGTCTACCCTCCTGCTCGCCATATGCCCCTAAACAGTTTGTATATAAAGACGGGTGTCAATTTAATCGATTCTGCTCGCATAGACCGCAATTACGGTGGCCCTGGCGATGATCTTAAATGTGGAATTAGCTGGTCATGTAAGCTTAATTCGATAAAATTATTGGCCGAACACTTCACTAACGACCGCTTGATCCTCCAGATGTCGGTCCCAAACGTATTTAACACACCCAACGGGGGGGGGGGGGCTGGAAACGAATGTAGCGAACGCCCAAACACTTGATGATGACATGTGAAGAGAGTGCGACCATTAGTGGGGTTGTGTGCTTAGTGATGACGAGGATGATTAATGAGTGGATGGGGAAGTTAATGAACGAGAAGACGGGTTGAAAATAGCTCATTTTTTTAAAATAATATAAATTGCTGGCGGTTTTGAATTCAAACAAAAAATGTCTACGTTCAAATCGAAACAATTTGCGACGTTCTCATCTTCTACATTCCATACCAGTAACTGCTATTTTTGTCTTCTAGAAGTTGAAACAAGTTTCGGCGCATCAAAAAATTTTACCCATTAATTTATTTCTTCTCATCAGTTCCACTCTTTCCTCTTCATGCCCAAGCGCAATGTTTTCACACCTTTTTCGTCGCTAGCCTTTCTATTCCTGGTTCTTGTAAACAAAAGCATGCTCATCGTAAAGAAATGTGAATGGAAACAATATAGCGCAGTTGTGGAATAAGAACCAAAACGTTCGCTGAAGATTTATCATTTTGAAAACAACAATTTATTTATCTTCACTACTATGAAAGGCTATTCCAGTTTGAATCATTTACCACACTGGTTTTTTCGTTGCCTAAAACTGAGAAGCGATATCGTCTGTCGAGTTCCGTCCATTTTTTCAACCAGTTCTTGACTACCGCAGCTTCTTCAAATCAGCATTAGCAGATTGACTTACCTATTTTGCTGTTGACTCTGATGATGCCACTTTTGGAAGCTAATGGGTGGATTATGGGTCCTGGAGTGGTAAAGCAAAACATCAACAAATTGTGTATTGCCCGTGCCTTTCACTAGCACCTCTAGAGGAAAGGAGGGTTGGAGGGCAGTAAATTTTCGATTTCCCAAATTTATCCCAAATTAGGTGAAATTATTGAGTTAACGGCTCACAAATCACGAAGATTTGGAGATTCGTTGATTTCTTCAAGAAAACATGCCTGAAATTGTGAAAAAGCAAAAAAATCTGTGAAAAGTAAGCAGAATCTCCTTGAAGAGTAGCCTCTTTAAGATTAATGAAATAAACCAATCATTTTTATGTCAACACTGCTCTTCCACATTTTTTCCTCGAAGTCCATCTTATAATCGTGAGAATGTACCCTTAACCCGCTATAGTTTTTGTTGGGTAACTTTTAACCCTGCTAGAACTTCGCTTCTTCACAGTGTGTATGCTGATTCGATTATGTAAATACACGATGGGCGAAAGGGGGAGGGGTGCTTCTTGCAAATGCACAGATCAACAACGAACTTGTCTGTTGTGGATTGGGGCAAAAAAATCTCTAAGAAACTTCTTGGAGGAAGGTAGAGCAAGCAGTCAGTAACTTACCTTTTTTCCCTTCTAATGGGACGATCAGCGACATGATGGCAGGTGCAGTTTTATTACAAATTTTATGTACGAACTAAGAGCTGCTGTTAGGTGTTCGATGCACCTGTTGCTTGGGGATGATGATGTGCTTTCCCAGATCGAAAATGAGCTAACGAGCGATACCTGCTCGATTGGGGCTCCCCGGAAGATAATTTGCCCCGGCTCAATCGTGATCCGAGCGTATCCCTCCTCATTATGCGTGATTTGTCCCTAGTCCAGCGGATCGCATTGTTTTGTAGGACCGATTTATGACCGTCAAATGGCAATGTATTGTTTGAGAATGGCGAGTGTGTCTTTTACTGGTTTTCGCCAATTTTCCATAATTTTTCGCTTTGCAATCAGGAATCGCTGTTGATCAGCATCAAAACCAAGTTCAAAACAATTTTGTAGAATTTATGACGACCGGTTCTCGAACAAATTGGACAATTATAGGGGAATGGCTTGTTTCTTATAGACATTTTTCTCTTTTGTAACTTATCTGATTCGCAAGTTTGCAGTTTGGTCACGACTTTGTAAAAATTTCTTTGGGAAGTCAGTTGAGAGGAGGGGGGACGATTGCTAGGAAATATCCGTTGACAATTTTCCTTACTTTTCTTGTCTATTCCGCATAGAGTTCGCTAGAAATCGGAATTAAAGAAACACAAACGTGTGAAAAATCAAAAAAAAAAACAGAATCAAGCAATGCTAAAATCGTGAAGTTCCAATTAAAAATTTCAAAAAAATTTTTTTTGAGATTTTTAGTAATTCAAAATTACGCCAAAAAGCAGCAAAGTTCAAGCATTACGCTGTTTTTGATGCAGCAGAACTCTGCTTTATTCTTGTAATTTTGAATTTTTGAACGAAAATTTTGCAGAAATCTCTGGTATTCTTCAGTCATTTACGCATACAATTTTTTTTGAATTTTTGAGGAGAAAATGCTTGGAATTTTGAACACACATTCTTCGTCAATGCTCTTTCTATTCAAATATAAATTTATCATTAGCGAAAAAAAAATTCTTTGCAACATTCCAGATAAGATTTGAAGTATGATAAGTTGCTTATTCGAACCATGCTCCTTAAAAAATCTGCAAAATCTCTCACACGGTCAGAGTCTAGATTGTCAAGAACTTTCCCATCTTCTAATGAGTTTTATGAGAAATGTCTCCCGCAGCTGCTGCAGAGATTTTTCTATTTTTTGCATGAGCAGAAATTTTATCGTCGAAGAAAATTCGATCACAGTAAAACTGCAGATGTCTTTTGCAGCTGTCAGTTCATTATAATCGTTGCATTTGCACTTCCTCGAGCTCATGTGCTGGCATTGATGTCATATGGAAAATGTAATTTGAAATGTGAAATCGAATTTTCCATTTTTGGAGGAAAATCTTTGGGATTTTAGACTCGTATTCTCAAGCAAAAACATATATGCAAAGTTTAGAGCAAAAATTCTGAGGGAAACAGAAAGAAACTACTTGAAAAACTTGTTATATCCTCCTTTTTTATCAGTTTTTTTTTCGTAGTTTTTCTTGACAGTAAAATCATGTGATTTTATCCGACATGCTGAGTTATTCAAATTTTTTCTTTGATGTACATAATGTATAACATATAAAGATGAAAATATTATGATAAAATGACTTAAATGAACATCTTTCCAAGCTTTTAGGAATCACATTTCCCTTTTCATTCCATGCCCCCCCCCCCTTCCCCCGTTTTGGCCCCAAGATCAAAGTCTAAAATGTCAAGAAAATTACTGAAAATTGCACTTGTTTCATTCGCTGCAAAGTTTTTTCCCTTGCACTTGTGGAAGATCTATGGAAGTCGCTGATGCGTGTGTGAGGATGTTCGCAGCTGATTCCGTTTGTCATTTATTTACATTCCAAGCTCAAGCACGAAGTGCTTTCTTCAAGCTATTTTCGTCTGAAGAAGAGTGCGAAAACAGACTTCGTGGGAATTTCTGGGAGAGTCTTAAGCGTTGAGGAGGTAATGACTAGCGGCGTGCAGGTTTTATTATGGTTGTGAATCAGCGAAAGTGGTATTTCCTGTAGTATGGGAATTCTATATGTAGAATGTACAGAAGCTTCGGGAAGGGTTAACGGAGAAGGGGTGATCCCCCCTTCTCCGTTAACCCTGGTGAGATCTAATTCTGCACTCATCTATTATGGCTGTCACGTTTTCCTGTATTGCATTTTCATCAAGGGCTGGATGAGGATATATAGCCATGTCAGTCAGCTTTTTTTCTTGGCTCGTCACGCTCGTTAACTCTCTGGCAATTTAGGGCTCAGTTACCCTCTGCCGTTTGGCCTAATCTACTGATTAGAGAGGGGATTACCGGCCCGAAGCGGGGCCCGGGAAATACTGTTGCATTGCGCAAGCGAACGGGTCATCCAAATGTTAGTGTATCGCTGCTCCATCTGTGCGCTAGTCAATCACACCTGGGTCGCGTCAATCTTGTACTTATAACTCTTGGAAGTGTTGTCAAGTGGAGGGCTCAATTGTTGGCGTATGGCATGAAATGCACTTCCGCACTTCCGCTCGCTTGGAGGCCAGAAGAATTTTCGACGAGGTGTGAAAGTAATAGGCGGCCATGAGATAGGGTAGAAGAGACGACTGAGGCGAGAGAAACAGGGGTATGGGGGGGGGGGGGGGGAGGGGGGAAGGAGGAAATCGAAATTTAACAGTTTAGGGGTAAGTGGATGTGTACACTTGTAAACGCCCCATAGGCAAGAATTCCCTTCCATCCCCCCCCCCTTCCCCCACTTCACAACTTCGGCTCCTACTACTTTATCCCTGTCAATCCCTTAGGTTTTGTGAAGTTTTGCATTTCCACATTAGCCTGCAAAAAAACTCACTGAAACTCTTAACTTCCTCCTGTGTCACCATAAAAATCCATGTCGTCCGAAATTTATCAATCTCCCAATCCTGATCAGGCGTTGTTCGGGCGCCCGATCGAGTGTTATGAACTCATCTGTAACAGTCAAACTGCGCCTGATCAAGATCACTGAATAAGCACCCCTAGATTAACGCCAGCGTTTCGGGCTGCGTTTTTTCGTCATCCTCCCCGTCCTTCTCTCCCCCCCCCCCTCCCACCCCTTCTGCTCCCCGTCAATCTAATCCTGTCGAACTCTAATCAAGCAATCGTCGCGGCAATGAGGCGGTATCTTTTCTTCCACATTGTTATCCAATATAGCTCTCTGTCCGCCTAGCTTTTGACGCATTTGGATGGATTTACGATCGCGGACGCGGAGTCGAATGGCATCAAGTCAGCGCGTTGACGCGCGTGGTTACGTATGCGCACTCTTGAAGATTACGAT